ACACCAGTAAATCATTTTATATCCATATATATTCCATTTACTGTTATTCCTATGATGATTAATCAAAAATTGTCAATCTTGGAAAATTACCCACATGGATACTAAAATGTAGGCTGTGATTTTGATCCGGAATCCGGATCCGATCCGAGATCGGATCCGGATCTACTCTGAAATTAGGATATCCGGAGGTGTTCGGATCCGTATTCGGATAGTAAAATCTAGGATTCGTGCAAACCGAATCCGGATCCGGATATCTTAATTTTTAGGTCCGGATATCCGGATTCGGATCCGTATTTAAAAAAGAAAAAATTACATTAAGAGGCAGTTGTAAGTTTTTATTTCACTCTAGGACAGTTTGTACTCATGATGTAGTTTTTGCTAACTAACACTCTTACTATTATGTACTCAGTTAACTTTTCCACACTACAACAAATTATATCCCAATTATTGGGACCCACAATCTTCTCTCTTTATCTTCTTCTTTCTTTTTGCACGAGCATAACATTTCAAGAAAATTAACAAAATGCATCTCAGTTAATTTTCTTCTTGGTTCTCTCCCTCCCAAATTCATTCTTTTTTTTGTAAAATCAAATATGATTCTTCGAGTTTATTTGTTCAAATAGATCTTGTATTTAATTTTAGTTCAAACAATCTGGATTCGGATGGTGATTTGGAACAAACGTTCAACAAAACTGAAAACAAAAAAAAATCACCTTTGTTCAAAATTTTAAATGTAAAATCATAAATCTGGGTAGAATACATAAAACATAAGTGGAGAATGTAAAAAATCGTGAAAATAGGTGAGAGAGGCAGAGATCAGAGTTTATGGTTGACAATGGCCAAGGAAAAAGACAAGGTTATTTTTGTAATTTTGCATAATTAATGAAAAAGTAAAAATTAAGGTTTGTACATGGAACTTGTTCATGTTGTACACATGTACACGCTTGTTTGTGTATACCCTAACAAGGTTTTCCCGGAACACCAAATCTCAAACAAACAAAATCAAAGAATGAAGTTTGTAATCGGATCATTACACAACCAAACAAAATAATCTCACTAGTATCTAAGCTTTTAGTGTATCTTAGTAAATATTTCTTATTATTCCTCAAATTTATTAGGATTGACGGAAACATGTACACAATGAAATTATTATTTACTTTTTGTAACTCAAAAACAAAGGTATCTATAAGCACATGTGCATCATTATGGCCACTAAAAAGTAGATAATTTATAGTACAGTTAGATACTTGTATTTGTCTCTATATTTGTAACTACAAATAATTTATGTAAATAATGTACACATGGACATTTCAAAATATTGTGAAATCTTATTCTTTTATTTATATTTATATCATATTTTAATTTTTAAAATATGTGTACACAGTAATGATATTTGGACGAGTATATATGTAACAAATTTATCATGTGTACATATGGACAATGAAACTTGTAAATGCATATAACAAATTTATCACGTGTACATGTTAATCATTTACTAGTATATAATCTTCTTATCTCTACAACAACCATGTGTACACAAATAATATTAAATATTGTACATATGTACACCATTTATGTACATACACAAATGTGTACACACAATTTAAATAGTAAAATTTGGATACTTTTCCAAACCAGATTTGTTTTTATAAGTGTAGACATAATTTTGTGTGTTATTGAATTTTTTTTTCATGACAATAAGTATACACATGATTTTGTTTATTATTCATATCTAATAATTTTTGCTTTTGATATATTTAGGTACATATATAAATGTATACACACAATTTATATACATATGTTAGCGTGTACACACAATTTATGTACATATGTAAACGTGTACACGATTTGGTATAGAACCAAATAAAAAAATTGGGACAAAAACGAAATAATAATCGCTTGGTCCAGATTGCACAATTAAAAGTCTCGGGATAAATTCGTTAAAGAACTTGAACATATTAAAAGTTTGAGATAAATTAGAGAACAAATAAGAGTTGGAGGACCAAGTATTAAAATAACCAAAAATGACAATTGTTGATGTAGTGAAGCTTTTTCTTTGATTTGAGACAAAAGCGATGAATATTCTGGTGGCCACAACTCTTCCGAGCATGACAGTCACAATTAGAAAGAAAGTATGCGGATTATGATAGATCTATGTCAGAATAGAGTTTGTGATTTGAGGTTGTTACCAACAAACTTTCCGGCTGCTCCGTCACGTTTTGCTTTTCAATCCACGATGGAATTCTTCGACTGCTTGCAACGGCATTGTTTTCCTCACCGCCGTTTTCGTCGCGTTAAATCATCACTACGATACTAAAAATCGGTGAAGTATAATATGTGGGTTCTATTAGTTATATCTTAATTATGTTTTAGTTAAGAAAATAGAAAGTGAGTTAAGAAAAAGTGTGTTAGGAGTAGAAACTACCTTTTAGTAATATAAAAACTTAAAAATTACCTTAGGATGTAAAAATTAAATATATTTGATTGGTATACTTTAATTTAAAAGTTGAAACCTAAATAAACAATTTTTAAATATTATCAAATAACGTGCAAGTATTAAAATTCAGGAAGTACTTGATTAACCAAGAACAAGTACAAATACAAGCAAAAGCTAAAGCTATAAGTTTTAATACTTACTCAGGACAAGACAAGTAATAGATGGAGCAAAAATACCGAGTACGATACCTACTTGCATCTAAGAAAAATACCAAGTACAATACCTACTTGCATCTAAGCTTACATGGGACTCCTCGCTACCTCATGATTAAATCCTAAAATAATAGGCTCAATAAGATCTTTACAAAGACGAATTACTTTAAACACGATGAGTTTGTATTTTGTAACTAATGAGAGAGAGATATAGCATGAGACATTTCTTTTTTTTTTCAAATTATTATTTGCCAAATTGAATCCAACTATCAATACATGCATTATTTTCTTATTACATATATATATCATCGTATCATGTGGAACCCGTCAAAGTCTATCGGTTATTAATAATGTATTAGTTTTTAATTTACAACTATGGATTTTAAATTTCCGAAAATAATTTATTAACACTTATAAAATTTAATAGAAGAAAACTTCAGTATAGTACAAGTAAAACTATTAGTATAAATATTCATAATACGGTTCACGATAGTTTAAATAGAACTGTCACACGTAAATCTTCATTAAAAATCATCGACTATAAAATCATCAGTATAATAGTTTTAAAATTTGTAATAAAATAATAATTAGTGCATAAAAGTAATTAAATAATAATTTAGCATTAAAAATGTTGAACCATGGAAAATATCCACATTGCCTTTGTTGACAAAAAAAATATTCCACTTTGCCTTTATTTAAAATATCACAAAATCCCCACTAATTTTTATATCACAAACCCCGATTTTTGTATCACTAATCTAAACAAATATACTGCTTTAAAGTCGTATTTGAATACCGAAGATGAAAGAAGCAAGCAAATGAAAATGGAGTGAGAACACAAAGTTTCCATAGTCGTCTTGACCTTTAATATTTCGATTCCTTACCTCTTCGATCCATAGACTAGTCCTATACATAAATTATAAATCAAAAATCAAATGGCGAATTGACTAAGTCTCTGCTGAAACTTATATAGTTTTTTAGTGGCAGTCAAAGTCAGCGAAGTTGCAAAACAGTGGAACCAATACCTTCATATCAGAGGTATTTCCAATATATTTATGAGTGATTTAGTGAACTACCCATATTTGAAGCTCAAATTAGTAAAATACCATTGATTGGACATAAAGGACACTGACACAACCATTTGGTAAGGAAATGCCGAGAATGCCCTTTCTCTTTCCTCTCATTAATACGAAGCGTAAAAACATTTGTTAACATATAACACTTCTGTTAACGTCTACAATATATGTTAACAGCCAACACATTTATTACCGCGAAGCGTAAAAAATAATTGTTAACAGTTAACACTTCTGTTAGCGTCTACAATATTTGTTAACAGCGAACACATTTATTAACGCGAAGCGTAAAAATAATTGTTAACAACTGACACTTCTGTTAACATCTACAATATTTGTTAACCGCAAACACGACGTCGAATCTAAAACCCAGAAAAATGATATCATCAAAAAATTGAGGATTCAAAGCCACTTATGAAAAAAATAATGAAATTTAAAATTTAATTGTATATAGAATGATAGAGATTTGTAAAATAATTAGGGATTGGAGAAAAAAAAAAGGTCAAAAAATTGAGGATTTCAAAGCCACTTATGAAAAAATAATGAAATTTAAAATTTAATTGTATATAGAATGATAGAGATTTGTTAAATAATTAGGGATTGAAGAGAAAAAAAAAAGAGGAGATATCAAAGAGAGGAGAGAGAGTGTAGAGAAGGGCAAAATGGTCCAAAAGAAAGTGATTGTCACATCATGGGCAAGTCTCTAATTATAGGTGCCAAATAGGGCAATTTAGCCAATTATCTCTATATTTATACACTCAAGGTATCATTCTTATTCTCTCTCTACACATAAGAAGATATAATCATTCATTTCTTCTGGCATCTTCTCCTGAAAATTACTTACGGGTATCTCTATCCATCTCTCTGTTGACCCGTTTCTATACTTTTATTCATTTGGATGTATACCATTTGTTTGCAGATTAATTTGAGAATACGATCTTTCACCCAAAGTATTTAAACTTTGTGGTGGGAAAACATAGGATAATTTATGATGAGATTTTGCAAGTGATCAACATCATAGTCGATCTGATTAGTATTGTCTCATGTTGTGATCATTTCTTAAACCAACTCATGGAAGACAGATGGTCAATCTGACTCTGTAGAATCATATTTTTCTGTAAGAATTTGCACCATATCAGAGGCGTTGACTCCCTCTTGTGTGATGTCCTTTGCTGGGTCTCTAGTGTTTAAAAGGATCTGACCACTGTTTTGTGTATTTATGTCAGGTTGTGTCTTAATCAAAGAGATTAATCTTAGAGAGTTTTTCAAGTTTGTGAGATGGCAATGGTGTCTGGAAAAGTGGTTCAAGGTTGCCCCAACGCAGGCAATCCTTTCCATGAGTGTACTTCAATCTGTTTCGAGATAGTAAACTCCGGAAATGTCCACAAGAAGGAAAAGAAACTCTTTGGTACCTATGAGATTTAATTCTATTCTATTTATTACTCGGCCAGAAAGCTATCATCAAGAATTATATCTCATGAAACACGCTAACATGTGTCAGGGTTTGGTAAGAGAACTCCAAGCAGGGACTCTCCTTCAGGCAGTCCCGCTCGTGGAAGCAAATCACCTCTTGCCAGCTATTTTGCCAAGAAGAAGGTTGAATCAGACACTTCACCTTCCACTGATCACACAAACGGTAACTTTTTCAGCCGCTTGTCCCCGCTCCAGGGACGCCCGTCCCAACTCAAGAACGAGCCTACAAACAATATGGACTCACTACCTATGTCTCCTTCTCAAGCAGGATACTCCGGAGGAGACTATTTTGCAAGGAGGGTAAGTGTCATTACTTGCTAATGCTAAGCACTCTTCTCTTTTTGTTCCCTCGCCAGAGTCTCACTCATATATATTTGTCGCCAATCTTTCCAGGCTGATCAGCGTGGAGGTGAGGATAATGATATGTACTCTCCAAGGCCCTTTGGAACTCAGCCTAAGACGCCTGAACACCCTCTTAGGACACCTCGGCATAGGCCCCACACACCCCAACACCGCTCTGACACAAGGCCGTGGGCTAACCAAGAGGATCCTATCTCACTTGAAACTAGGGCGAGGACTCCTGAACGCCTATCCAACACCTCTGATACTAGGACGAGGACACCCATACATGACTCTGCTGCAACAGCAAGGAGGCCACAAACGCCAGAAATTAGGCCGAGGACTGCGCAACATAGGGGGAGGTCACCTGAATTCATGGCCAGATCCCCGGGGCCAAGGTCCAAGACTCCAGAGCCTCAGCCTACCTACTTTGAACCATTGTCAGGGACTCCGAAACAGCGGTCCAAGACGCCTGAACCCAGCCCTAGAATTTCTCAAACTCAGCCCATTTCCCATAGATCCCTTGACAGTGCTGCTCTTCAAACGCCTCGGGCAGTTGAAACTAGGCCTAGGACCGTGGAAACAAGGCCAAGAATACATGAAAGTAGGCAAAAGACTGAAGTCCAAAAAGGAAGGTCAGCTGATCACAGGGAAAAGATCTCACAAATTCAACTGAGATCATCACAGGCCTACAGTTATCTTGGGGGCAAAGCTGAGTCGGTTTACATTGAGAATGACGATGAATCAGTTCTACTCTTTCCAGAACTTGTTTTGTCACCTCAACAAGAAAAGCCACTATCTAGACCCATTACGGTACTGCTCTCTACCCTCTACCTTCACATATTTACATTTCTGCACATGCTAATGATATTTCTGGCCTCTTACCTCAGCCTAGCCGCCGTGGATATGAAACTCCCACCAAACAGGAAGAACGTTTCAATCAATTGGATGAGTCTGCGAGCTCAGATGACGACAAATTTTCATTTGTGGATGATCAAGACGACGATAACTCTGTTTGGCTTTACCCTGAAATCACACCAAAATCTGGAAGCACCACGGTATGTATATCCCTCATCTCATGTCTTTCGTGTTAATTTCAAAACTCACCACACAAAATGTATTCTCTTGTCTTGTTGCAGCCCGTCCATCACAAATCCCCAAGCAAACAAGATACGTATAACAAGGAGCCTCCGGAGCTACCAGATGAATCGCAGAGCTTCAGTCTCTCAGAGATCTCCCGCATGAAAGGAATAATAATTAAGAGGGACGAGGTGCAGTCCACTCTGTCTGAGTCTATGGTTTCTGTGGGAGATTACAAAGTCAGAGCGAGCATCTCGGCCACTATTGAGAAAATCCTAGACAAGCACGGTGACATTGCATCTGCTTCCAAACTACATTCGCTTGCCACAAGATCCTACTACCTCGACATGCTTGCCTCCGTGGCTTTCGAACTCCAGACGACTCCCTTAAAGCATCTCAAGGAGTCCCGTGTGGTGGAAATGCTAGCGATTGTTAGAGACGTTGAGTCTGTTAAAATCAAGGCAGGCTGGCTCAAGGCCGTCCTGGAGGATATTTTTGAGGCGGTAAAGCACTACGACCACCACAAGATGAGCATAATAGAGAAAGAGATGTGCCAAGGGGATATGTTGCTTGCGAAACAAGAAATGGAGAAACAGGGGAAAGAGCTGAGGGAGAAGGAGAAGAAGTTGAAGGAGTGGAGAGAGAGAACCACCGAGATGGCTGGCAAGTTGGCAAGTCTGGATATGAGGAAAGCGCGTCTCGACAAGAGATTGGCGTTTCTCAGTTCCAAGGTGGACAAGTTTCAGGGTAAATCTCTTCTTCAAGACATCTTGTGACAAAACCAATTACTTCTGCATCTAGCATTTGATTCTTTTGTTCATGTTTCGAATTAGATGCTTTCTACGTATATGTATCATCTCTTCTCAACAGTTTATAATATATGTTAAAACGAACACAAAACTTGTAGAAAGACATACCATCTCAAATCCAATATAGCAAAAAGGAACATTTCTTGTATGAATGGGAACAACAAGCCTTTTACTCGACATCCAGTGATCTGCATATTTGGCTAAAGTCTCATAACTGGCCCCAAATTTGGAAGGGCTGATGACTCATTCTTCGTCAGAGCTGCAGAAATCTAGGACCATCATTTTTCCGGTGGCAGTCTCAGGAGTTTCCTTCTTATCATGTCCATGTGCTTCTCTCTTTCTCTTTGCTTGCGTTTCTTTTGCATTAGATGCTTTCCTGAAGAGAAAGTCAAGAACATCTCTGTTTGAGATACACAACTAGAGAAGATCACAAGTCAAGAAAGAGGGTACCTCTTCTCTACAGACTTATTCACAGCTTCAGATTTCTTGTTAACGTTCTTCAAAGCCGATTGTTCTGTAAACGCAAGACCAGATCTCATAAGCTTTAGATTGTATTTGTATCAAAAGGAGAAATGAGAAAGAAAAAGCATACTAGCCATCTCGTTCAGGAAACGTATGCCTTGAGAGTGTACGTTAGGCGTCACTTTATCTGCACCACTGCATACTCACAATTAGATTTGGAATTCGAAAAGCTGATTCTGTTTCATTATTCGAAAAAAAAAAGAAAAGAAAGAGTTTCCCAACCTTAGAGCCTTTCGAAGACCCTCCACTGATAGTACTCGGACAGGCTGAGTAGCCTTTTTGTTCCCGCTCCTATCTACTGGTGGCTCAACTGTGTAAATGCCTTGAGATTTTGGATCTCTGAAAGACGTTCTCAAGTTCCTGAACAAGTTGAAAAAAAAATTAAACTCCCACGAATCATGCAAATTCCCCAATCAAGGTAATGGCCAAACTCGGTAGCATTAACATACCCGCCTTTGAGTTCACTTCTCATTGTAGCAAATTTGTCTGATGCATTCTGTGCAAAACAAAACAAACAAAAATCATGGTGAGTGAAAACAAGGTTCATAGACAAGATGAAGGCAATATAGGGAGAGATGTGTACCAGTTTATGAATCTTGCAGAATGCTCCTTGGCGTCTGAAAGTTGAAACAATTCAAGATTCAGAAAACAATTAGAGCGTGATATGCATCCATGCCAAGGTAAACTTACTTGTTTACAACAGAGGTACAAGTTGTTCCATCTTTCCGCTTAGCTGTGCAGACTCCATAATCAGCGGAAACTCCTAGTTTTACCATTTGTTTAGCGGAGTTGACACTTAATGAGAAGTCACTTCCCTGCCCACAAATTCGTTTTTTTTTTAGTTAAAGCCATTCATCACTCATACTCACAGGTCAAAAGGTGCTACAATGCTTACCACTTTGTCCTTGCGAAGAGAACAATTAAAGAGACCGAAAACAGTTGCTGCCTTTTCAGACTCATTCTTCTTGTAAGCGTCGCCAAACAAGAACAAGGAGACAGTGTTGTTCTCGTTTAAGGTACATATTTTCCAAATGCAATAAGGCTGACCTATAGAGCTTGTTTTGGGTTGTCCTTTCTCAGTTAGCACTCCCATTGTGGCCCAGCAGCCGGACAGTTTGTCACCCATTAGCAAGTTCCTACTCTCACAGTGTCAGATTAATTTGTCCAAAGCCAAGTATAAGTAAGTAGTGAAAGGCTGTAGAGTTACTTGATTGTTGGCAATCTAACGAAACGAATATCTGAGAAGAGATCACTAATCTGTGCAGGGCTAAGTAATTGATTCCTACAAAAGAAACCAACAAAAGATACGTTTGGACAAGGAGCAAATAGGAAACTGTGGTCGGAACGAAAAAAAAAAAAGGATTTAACTTTTCTGACCTTAAGCGTAAGCCAGAGAACTTTTCAATGTCGCTTTTAGGTTTATTGGTGGTTTTGGGGAGAGGTTTGGGGTCATAGTCGATGCAATCTTGAACAACACTTCTGAAGTCAGACAAGTCCGCCTGACCTCTACGACGTTTGGGGGATCCTTCTTCATCCGTCAAATATACTGCACAAAAGATTCGATATTTCAGTAATGAGTATATCTATTCTGCAATCGATTTGATCGGAATCTCACCGGGTGGAGCAGAAGGAGAACCGGGAGGAGTTTCGAGAACCCTCTCGTCGTCGTCAAGGGACAGAAGCAGATCTAGATCCTCTTGGTTCTTGTTTTCCATTATCCCCAGAAGCAATCAATTGTCTGTCTGGATTCAACATCAAGCGGACCAAAATCATATCTTCTGGTTCTGGACGTGGGCGGGAGTCTCAATCTTATTGCCGCCCAAATAAAACAAGAAACGACCTCGTTTTATGTTTTGTTGTGTCAGTCCTCGGCCTGGTCGTTCGGTTGATTCAGATTTAAATCCCATTCACATTTTACTATTTACTACAGATTCTACCGCTTTACGTGCAGTGCATTTTTGCCTATAGAATTTAAAAAAATATTCGTATAAAAAATTTCCAACATATTAAAGTCATTTAAATCTCATTATAAATAGAATGTTTTGTGATTAACTGTTTTCTATAATTTTTAGTCGCTCAAAATTTAATAATCCCCCTATACATTAAAAAAGAAGTCACTTTGACACGTGGCACTCACACGGCCCTTCTCAGAAGAATTCTAGCGATTCTATTGGTTGATTTTTTACAATTTATTTTTACCATCGACACTACTAAAAAGGAAATCCATTTAAATACTTACCTTTTGTGTTTTCTCGATTCAAAGAACATCCTTTTGCGATCCTTTATCTGTTTAATTCATTAAATACTCATTAAATATTTTAGATGTCAGAGAAACAAAATTAATTGACAAGATATTTTCACTTTTAAAATCATGCATTTAAAACAAAATTAATTGATAAGATATTTTTTCTCTAAAACCAATATTTTATCACGTGATGCTCTCCTTTAGCTTTATCAACAAGGTATTCCAAAAATAATATTACCTTAAAAGTATAAGATTTATTGAGAATTTATTAGAGAATATGTTACTTCTTAGCTTATCATGCAAGCTAAATCATTGAGAAACGTCTATCAATTTACTATAAATAAGACATTCACAGTAGAAGAAATAAAATCATTGAACTTTGTATTCTGAACTTTTTATGTTAATAATGTTCTGAATTTGCTTTTCTTCTTATTTTAGAACATTAAGCTTTTATATTTCACGAGAGCTGATTTTTCTTTTGGTTTATATGCAGATATCCTATTATGACGATTTCTCCACTGAAGCTATATATGATTTGATTGTACACCTCTTTGATATATCATTTCGATAACATCTTTGTTCCTCAATGTGGTAAAAAAAATTCTCTATTTAATAACATCTCTCAGCTATATCATCTCGTGAATAGATTGAGAGCTGATTTTTCTTTTGGTTTATATGAAGATATCCTATTATGACGATTTCTCCACTGAAACTATATATGATTTGATTGTACAACTCTTTGATATATCATTTCGATAACATCTTTGTTCCTCAATCTGGTAAAAAAAATTCTCTGTTTGATAACATCTCTCAGCTATATCATCTCGTGAATAGATTGAGAGCTGATTTTTCTTTTGGTTTATATGCAGATATCCTATTATGATGATTTCTCCACTGAAGCTATATATGATTTGATTGTACACCTCTTTGATATATCATTTCGATAACATCTTTGTTCCTCAATCTGGTAAAAAAAATTCTTTATTTGATAACATATCTTAGCTATATCATTTCAATAGCATCTTTTTGTGCTGCCAATACTTTTTTTTTTATTAGTAGATTTATATTATCAATTAGAATTATAAGCTTATATATACATATATATTTCTTTGGTTTGCTGATTGTGATTTTGTTTTATGATATTTTTAATTAAAATTGATATTTTTTTTTGGTTTGCAATTATATGATCTTGTTAATTAAAATTAAATATATACAGTAATATTTATTAATGAAAAAGTTATATCAACTACTTTTTATATTTATTCTTTCCTTATTATATATCATTTAATATTTAAATATCTATAGTTTAAATGTAATTTACCTTAATGTTTTTAGTTTATTAATAACCTACCTTATTTTGAACACATGTTACTTGTGAAACTTCAAATTATATTTATTGCATTGTTTTAATGCAATTTACCTTAATGTTTCTAATTTGTTAATTCGTCTTTATAAACTTATTTTGAACACATATTACTAGTGCAACTTCAAATCATATTTATTACATTGTTTTAATGCAATTTACCTTAATGTTTCTAATTTGTTAATTCGTTTTTAAAAACTTACCTTATTTTGAATATGATTTAATTGCACAAGTTTATAACATATTAATTGTAAATCATTTAATGATAATATAACTTTAATATTTTTCTTTGGACTGTTTCATTATTTCTTATGAAATTATATTCCTAAACATCATTTGTTATGAAAATATCTCCCTAATAACATAAGAAAAAAGGAAGGTGAAATATATATAAAGGAGACACCTAAGGGATGTCAATACTAACTTATTAGTCTATTTTTATTCGATAAAAAAATTTAAATTTATAAATTCTTATATTTGTTTGTTTTTTCTATTAACAGATAAATAACACAGACGAAAGACCTGTTGTAGTTAACTACAAACCATTTTTCAGTTTGTTTCAATAGCGATATGCAAATTTAATATTATTTTCGTCTCAATAAAATTTAGAAATCTATTAAATTATTTTATATTGTACAGTTGCTAATAAAATTTGACAATTTTTTGCAGGTTTCTATGGGATATTTTTAATTCATAACTGTTCTTCTTATTTTATATTACTTATGGGTTATATATAAAATTTTTATTACATTTTCTTTGCAGGTTTCTATGGGATTGTGTTATATATTTCTATAGATTTACAATATATCAAAATCAAAACTATTTATTATTCTTTAATTTTATACTCATATTATGGTATTAGGAAAGATATACCTTGTTGGTAAAAGCTTTTAATTAGTTAATCCGTTTATTAATAACTTGCCCTATTTTGTTATCAATNTATAGATTTACAATATATCAAAATCAAAACTATTTATTATTCTTTAATTTTATACTCATATTATGGTATTAGGAAAGATATACCTTGTTGGTAAAAGCTTTTAATTAGTTAATCCGTTTATTAATAACTTGCCCTATTTTGTTATCAATTACTTGCGCAAGTTGATATGTTGATTACCTTATTTTGCCATCAATTACTTCTCTTAAATGGTATGTCAATTATTGCAAATTTATGACAGTCAATTTTTAATATCTTTCTTTAAATTGCTTCATGGCTTATTATGAATTTTTTTCCAATTTTTAATATATTTATTTAAATTGCTTCATGCCTTATTTTAAATTAATATAACTTGCACAAGAAAACTAATATTTAATTCAAATCAGCTTATGATATTGTAGATCTAATAACTTTCTTTATTCAGTTTAAATATTTATTATAAAAAAATAATATTTTCTGCTTTGCCTTCTAAATCGGTATTACACTTTATAATTGCTTAGATTTTATAGTTACAATAGCATACTAATGAGATGAATTATTTCTCTTGCAGGTCATGATGTTGCAGTCCTTAGGTGATATTTCCTTGTGGTGATTTTTCAGGAACGCATTTGTCCAAAAGAAAAAACCAAGAAGATCATGACAGTAACCTTGGAGGATCAACACTCTGTCAACAAAAAACATTCTCACAAAAAAATCAAGGGCGAGTGATCTCAAATTTTTTTAAAAATCATTTATTTGTGAATATTTTCCAGGAACAACACATTTAGTCTTTTGTCACTATTCGCGTTATTCATTATTATTTATTTCAAATAAAAACACATTGAGTCTTTTCTTGTGCTCATGAAAATTTTTAAAATAATTGCATTGTAATAACTCTCATGTTTTAGTAATAATCTGTTGGAAGAGATGAAATTATCTAATTTTCGTTCTAATGACATGTTATTATTTAGTCAATGTATTCGTTATTGTTTTTTAGTTATATTTTTATTAGATTATTTTTTCAGATCTCAATATATAATAAGGTCATTTTTATAGTTATTATTATCGTCATTTAACAATTATATTATTACTTCTTTATTAATTAATTCTCACAACTTGCCTTGAATGAAAAATATGTCCACATTTACCACATTAATGATTACCAATTAATGATGATTACAACATCACGTAACATATACTCCCTCCGTTCCTAAATGATTGATGTTCTGGAAAAAAATCAAATTTCAAAAAGATTGATTTTTTACCTTTTCAATGTATGATTTAATGAAAAATTGTAAGTT